TCCGCAGCCCAAAAGGTCTCCGAGAAAATGACAATTCAAAAGCTTAGTCGTGTAAGGGTATTGATAGGAGTCATTGATTTCAGATTTATGATCTTAATTGACTTTAACATAGTTTCCTGGACATTGGGGTTAATTTGTGATCTGATGACTATTGAAGGCACAGGGAATTATTTACCGGGAAATTGTCCTTGTTTTCCATGAATCTTCCCAACCCACCATTCATTCTCATTACTCGTTCTCGTCACAATCTCAATGGTATCTCCCGCGCTGAAGCTCAAGTCGCCTTCGGCCTGTGCCTCATAATCATACAATGCGGTGGCAGTCTCCGCAGCTGGCGCACCGCTGAGCCTCGATGGCTTCGGCTTCGGGGGTGGAGGTGCCGCCTTTTTTGCCTTCGCAGCGGCTCCCCATGAACTTCCCGTCGATGCCGATCGCATCACGTTGTTTCCAAGATTAGTGGGGGATAAGGTGGAAGAGTAAGGTGGCGGTGGCTTCTCTGATGACGAAAGGTCGCTGGATGCGCGGCGGTTGGGTGAGGTACTCAATTCTGTAGATGATGGCTTGTTTTCGATGGCAAGACGGTTAGGTCCACCAAGAGCAAGAGGTTTCGGTGGACGTTTGGCACCGGTCGTCTTGAACTTCACAATGGAAAGTGCTTCTGCCTGGTCTCGGATGTCACCTCGTTTTACCTCAAAACCTTCCTCGATATCAAGCTGGAGATTGAAATAACCAATATCACAACCTTGCATCCTCTCGTGTAAAGTATAAAAGACATTAAGTTGCATATAATAAAACGATTGGAACAATGGTCGGATAAACTCGCGCTCCAACGCAAAGAGTTTAGGTAACTCATCCTTCAACAGATCGTTGTAATAATTGAACTCTTGAGTGGCTTGTTCAACATCATTCTCCGCCTTGTACATGGCTTTCTCGTCCTTCAAACTCTTTTCTTTCTTGTCTTGCAATTTCTTTAGTGAAGCTCGATGTCGGTCATAATCTAATTGCTTGTGTTGACGTTTGAGCGCAGTCTTCCTTATCACCTTAATGATCTCTAATAATTCGTCCGCGGGTCGAATAACTCTGGTTTCAATCATCTCCAGCTCTGGTTGTAGAGTTGCCAGGAGCTCTTTGCAGATTTCTTCGTATTCTTCACAAGCCCTGATCCCCTCCGGATTTCCTTCTTGAACCAGGGAATCCGGATCCGACATCCTTCCAGAGATTGGTTTGTATATCTCAGCGATCGCTTTGGAGAATTCGATTTGATGGGTCATCATGCCATTGATAGCTTCAAAGTATTTCTTACTCTCATCGTGCAGTTTTTTCGTCTCGGTTTCCAACTCCTGGAATCGCCGTTCCGCATCGATATAGACAGCATCTTTCGTTTGTTCACCAAGGTTAAACTTGGCTTTGAAAGTTTGAGGTGCCTATTAACCAGTCAGTCGAATGTGCGAGAATCCCCGCCATCCCGCTAGATGACCCTCCACTCCAACTTACTCTGACCAGGGACTTCTGAAAGCCCTTGAAGGACATCTCCCAGTTTTAACTTCAAAATAAATCAGAAAAAGTCCGTTGTGAGATCTGTAAATTTGATATCAAGAGCTTTCTTCGTAGAGTTGTATTTGTGTTGTGGTCGTCGTAATGCCCAAATAAAAGGGTGTCTCCGGGGTTCTTTAGTCGTAGGACAGACAATGACGAGGAGTGGCTGAGCAGAGCTGGCTGTTGACGTCGCGGTCTCTATTAGCCCCGATATGCTTATGCTTATACTTTATATGTACCGAAGTACCTAGGTCAGGTAGGTATCAAGAGGATTTTCGGCTGGTAAAAGCTGGGAATGAGAGATGAGAGATAAAATCGTTTTCTAGAAGTCAATAAAAGAAGTATATGAAATATGAGGGTATTCCTATAACTCTAATATGTCGAAGAAAACTTGAATAACTTGATAACTTGATAACTTGATTTGAGCGCATTCACGATACAGTCAGTTGACTAGTCAAAAACGTTAGGTAGTGAATGATATGGAATTTATGGAATCGTCGGATTGTCGGATTATCGGATCGTTTGCATCGACAGGCATGAACCTATTTTCCAAGGGTACCTCCGCTACCTAAAGGATAATAATACCTGAACTGGATTATTGCTTAGTAATAATAATAGATAAAATGGCGGAACGGAACATTGAATAATAGGTAACCTTGGAAGGTATAAAATTATGAAGTCATTTATGATAGGTTATTTATTATGAAAGAACCCGCCACTTTGGGCTTGTTGGGTCACTTTATCAAATAAATGTTTTCGTGAATTTTGATTCGTTGGGTTGTTTGACAAATCATAATAATTCGGGATCGTTCTTTCCTGTAAAAGCAACCTGAACATGAAAGCAAAAGCTTTTAATATCCGGTATCCGCTTCCGCTCTTTTCTACAAAGATAGCCAATCAGATCTCACTTTTCTTTCAATTTTCGGTTATTTGCATGAAGCACGGAGTTATGATAATGCCTAGTTCAAAGAGAGCTTAGCTTTATTTTACTCCGTTAGAATTTCAAATTCAAAAGTCTCCAAAAAAGAAGCTCACCATTCCTCTGAGGGATTGCCTTCCACTTTGATATCATCAAATTTGCGATCTACAATCCATAATAATGTCGAGTCTGGCGTCAACATCGTTGAGGCAGGCTTCGCGCTTTTGCTTAAAGAAGTCGACGCCTGCTGCTGGACTGGTAAGAAGCTCTGCTTTTGCCCGGGTGGCGTCCATATCAAACCAAAGAGTATCAAGGAGGGGTTATGTTTCCGAGACGAAGAAAGATAGCGCTCAAGTCAATCTTGATACCGCGATCCGATCAGAACAGAAATCCTTCTTTGAAGAGACTGGCAAGAATGCTGAGAATCAATCAATATCAGGAGTGTCCGCAAACGCTGATGCGATGATGAGTCCTATGGCCGGTAATTACCCCTCACATATCTATGTAGACATGCAAGGGACCTTGGCTGACATTTTATTAGGTGTGCTTAAGCAAGCTACTGTTATGGACGAAGGCCAGAGGCCAATATACTTAGATATGCAAGCTACCACTCCATTAGACCCGCGAGTACTGGACAAAATGTTGCCTTACTATACCGGTCTATACGGCAACCCCCATTCGAGAACCCATGCTTATGGTTGGGAAGCTGACAAGGCCAGCGAAGAAGCAAGAGAACACATTGCCACACTTATTGGAGCTGACCCTAAAGAGATTATTTTCACCAGTGGAGCCACTGAGAGTAATAACATGAGTGTCAAAGGTGTAGCGAGGTTCTTCGGTAGGGCGGGAAAGAAGAGGCATATCATCACAACACAGACAGAGCACAAATGTGTACTGGATAGTTGTAGGCATTTGCAAGATGAAGGTTTCGATGTTACTTATCTGCCAGTGCAGCAAAACGGCTTAGTTGATATGGCAGAACTTGAGGCTGCCATTCGACCCGAGACAGCCCTTGTCAGTATCATGGCAGTTAACAACGAGATCGGTGTCATTCAACCACTCGAAGAAATAGGCAAACTTTGTCGCTCGAAGAAGGTCTTTTTCCATACCGATGGCGCACAAGCTGTCGGGAAGATTCCCTTAGATGTTAATGCGATGAATATTGACTTGATGTCTATTTCATCCCATAAGATCTACGGACCAAAAGGTATTGGTGCATGTTATGTGCGCAGAAGACCTAGGGTTAGACTTGATCCAATCATCAGTGGAGGTGGACAGGAGAGAGGTTTGAGAAGTGGCACTCTCGCACCCGCATTAGTTGTCGGCTTTGGTGAAGCTTGCCGGATTGCAAAAGAGGAACTTGATGTAAGCTCTAACATTTCTTCTCACCTTTTTTGCTTACATGATGACCTACTTTACATATGCATGGCTTTCCTAGTGGCCTCCTTGCTTGCAAGTTGAGGCTTCTTTGACGACTCACAGTACCTTGTCTGATTTTGCAGATCAATTATTTGAATTGAATCGATAATTCAAGCTGGATTAATGCTGACAATATAATAGTATGACCATGCTCGTGTCAAGAAGCTCTCCGACAGACTTCTTCAAGGCCTTCTTGCCATGGAGCATACCACTCAAAATGGCGACCCAAACCATTTCTATCCAGGATGCGTAAACGTCTCTTTTGCCTACGTCGAGGGAGAATCGCTTTTAATGGCACTGAAGGATATTGCGCTATCATCAGGAAGTGCTTGTACTTCTGCCTCGCTCGAACCCAGTTATGTTCTCCGAGCACTGGGCAGTAGTGATGAGAGTGCACACAGCAGTATCAGATTCGGTATTGGGCGCTTCACAACAGAGTCTGAGATTGATTATGTCTTGAATGCCGTTCAGAACCGAGTCACATTCTTACGAGAGTTAAGTCCTCTCTGGGAGCTTGTACAGGAGGGTATCGCTTTGGATAGTATCGAGTGGAGTCAGCATTAAATTGCCGCTAATAAGCAAATGAAATATGGCGGGGCACTGGCGTTTTGTGATATCACTTCAGCGGGTTGGAGGCTTTTTGGGTTGTAACATAGCGAATGATCGGGCTAACTTAGTAACCTGAATGTATACCGGTACTGATAATGAGTGCAACAATAGCATATCAAATTTTAAGCACATCTCATCTATGAGATCCTTGGCGTTAATTTACATCAATATTTTGTTGTGGCCTCTAGATCTTCTTGTGACCTTTGTATACAAAATTAACCTTTATCACCATAATTTCTGAGTCTATGACCAAACCCAATCTCCCTCCCTAGCCCTAGATATCCTAACCGACCAACACATTAACCTCCCACCGTTGCAACCAACTATGATGGATAACATATAATAAGGTATCCACATCTCACTTTCTTACCCCACCCCCACTCTGGTACTATTTACCTCCACCTGTTCTTCAAAAGTGAAAGACCTACTGGTAGTACCTACCTTCCCCCATAAGCATGATCGTACAAAACAATCATATATACTTGAGTAAAAAAAAAAAAAAAAAAGCAATATTTAAGGGCCTAATCCGGGATCGAACCGGAGACCTCTTACAATTTAGATCTGAAACAACCCAAAGCAAGAATTCTACCACTGAACTATCAGGCCAAGACTATTAGTCATATTTTTTATGAAAGAGTGAGCTTGTTTAAGAATATAGAGGAGAGGGTAGTTCCAAAATATTATCTCCTTTTTTTGATAAGCGGTGAGGACCGTTTATTTTCTAAGGTAAATTAAAATTTAGTTATCCATTTTGAACAGGGTATGGTACAGGGAAAGATACGATGTTGCTATATTTCGAAATATCGATTGCACGACATGCACACACCTTTTTAGGTCCCCCGTAGGTGGTTTGTAGCATATATCTCTCCAAATGAATGTAATGAACTAGATCCATAATGAAAAAAAGTATACTTTTGCTGGATACATAATTTCACTTCTTAGATCTCCAGGCGAGCGTTCTCTTGACTCTCCTTCACAAACCCAAATACTCGATACTATACCACATCACTCACCTCCTACCCCCTAACACCAACTTTGCACCAAAATATCCCGTTTTTGTTACACATCTAATCTATGGAAGTTTTGTAAGAGCTTGAATTGAAACGCTTTTAGAAATATATTGTTGGTACCTTGCGCAGCAGGTCTGTTATCTTTGCTTTGTCGAATATACTAGCTGTGATTTTTCATATTATATGTGTAAAATTATAATCATAATGTTGAGAAAGATCGGATAAATACCCTTAACTTAAGTGTAGATTGCGGAGAGGGGGATTTCCAATCTATTAACACTATTGGATTAGTGGAAAGTAGTTTGGTGGGTGATTTGGTAGGTGAATATGGGGTTGTATTGAGAGGGTTAGGAGGGGTCTCTGAAGTGCCAGGGAGGGGACACGTGAGAGAGATAGTGTGATAGATGATTTTAAGAGGGGCGAAGTTTGAATTGTGAGTTCTGAACTCCTGCGAGTTGCATGTATGAAATGGAACGAGGTAGGAGGAGAGATTGTGGATCGATAATTATATGTTCTAATACAGGGGGACAATACAGGGGGACATTCGCTTCGTGGTTATGGTTATGATTACGATTATGGGTACGGTGAGATATTATTATATTATATATGCATTGAGGACCTCTAGATCTTGCAAGATAGGTAGGCGAGCAGGGAAGTGCAGAAGTTATCGGAGCATCTCATGTGGTAACAAGGAATAAGATTTGAGAATACTGCCAGTGTAGAACAATGTCTAATCAACCAAGATGGAATGCTATCAAAGCTAGCCCTGACATATACATATACCAATACCATACTATTATATACCCATATCGCAGTTTAGCAAAATTTGTTTCCTAGTCAACGAGAAGACACCGCATACCAAAACCTACAACACTAAATACAACAAAACTAATTTGGTACACTGACAACATCTTCAAGCGATCTTTGTTTAATATGGGGGATAAATCACGTCAGAAGTAGTCATGCAATGACGAAGGCGGGATCAGCAAAGCAAAATTGACGCCATTGTGCCAGGGACAATACTAGTAATAGCGACGTGACCTCTATCCCTGTCACGATGTGCAACAAATTTCCAACAGATCAAGTGATAGTGCCCTGTAGCGGTATAAGAAAAACGTAGTGTCCATGTAATAAAGCCCTAGTGAAGGAAGGTCTAATGTAAAAGTGGCTTAAGTAGAAGTGCAACAAATTGAGAAAATATTAGATGACAAAGCAAGGGAGTGGAATATTGTATAGCTTGCTCTAATTGCGGAACTTGCAACTAGGTGGAGGAAAATCCACTCGCTTGAGTAGGAAAAGGTATCTCGACCAGTGCTATCGAGGGACAACAGGTAGTGTTGTGTCTCAACTGCAGGGAAGAGAAAGAGATCGGGAAATACTGTACTTTGTAAAAGGACTGCACTATTCAAAACATCCTTGGAACTTGCTTGAAGAACTGTACCATGAAATTATTTATTGGCTAAAAATTAGCCAGTCTCTATCGACTACCCCTTGCCCCAGTTGGGGTTCCTACTTCGCATTACATTCCCAATTGCATCTCTAACTTCCGGATCAGACCTTATGGTGTTTTGTACAAGCCATTCTTTGACTTTTCCCTTTACATCTTTAATCGAATGTGGATCATTAGCGAATGGGACCATCTCTAATACTTGAAGCCTAGAAGCATCTGCTTCCATAGCCGTTGCGACTTGTTCTAATCGATCAAGTTGCTGTTTCAATACAATTTCTGGGTTTCCGGTCTCTGAACTAGCCGTAGGAGATTCTAGTAATGGACCAAGCTGGGCAAATGCAAGATGTAACGTTACAAGCATTTGTTGAAAGAGCTCCATAAGTTGAAATGGGAGGTATGGCGGATGTGATGTAAATTTGGTGAGGATCGGATTTATGACTTTCGTTGCAACAACGGGGAAGTATGGGCGTGATATCATGTGCAATTCGAATACGAAGATCAAGAAGAGGGCGACCCAGCGCCAGTATTTGCCCCTTTTCATATATCCAGAAATATCTTGAAAAAAGTTGAATATAGCAACGCCCATGTACCATGGCACAGCAATGTAGAAGCCATGTATAGCGTGGTCTTTCATTGACGAGATTTTTGACGGCCAATCACCTACTTTTGGTCCAAATCTTTCATAGGCGAATCGTTTCACAGGGTCGGAAAGTACTTCGTAAGCTTGTTTAAGATTGATAAAGAGTTCAGTCTGCTCGGGGGTACGCTCCGACGACGATACTTTGTCGGGATGATGAAGCATTGCTAGTCGCCGAAATTTTGATTTGATTTCTCGTTCAGTTGCCGAATGAGTCACATCCAGAATTTGGTAGAAGTTGACAGCGTTGCGAATTTCCCGGTCGGCTTCGTAGATTGTGAATAGGAGGTATGTGAATATGGCTATTATTTTGATGCGCTGGGAATCTAGGTTCCATTTGGGAGAATGAATGTGAGGTTTTGGAGTGCCGGTACACCGCAATTTTACTTCATACCATATTCCTTGAACAATGGTCGTAATCAACTACAAAACCATATTAGAGAGGAACATTTCTACCGCATTGTTTTTGGGGGGGAGGGGGAACTTACACCTGGTAGCATCGACCAACCGACCATTCTAAGAAAACCTTCATACATCTTCCAAAACTCTACCCCTTTCCAATGCTATATTTTCAGAAACCTATCCCATCAACCTGCAACTTGCAACTTGCAAATTGCAAATTACAAATTACAAAAGAGAAGAGAAGTATTGGGCAGAAGCTGTTATGTTCTTAAAACCTTTGTATTGGAAGTTTATCTTCCTCCCCCTGCCCCATTAACTTGCAACTACCTACAAAGATGAGAGAAGAATTGATTAGGAGCGGTTATGTTCTTAAAATCCTTTATATAGGAAATTTGCCATCGCCCAATCAACTTGCAACTTGCCAAAGTGAAGAGAATAAACTGATCAGAAGTACTATCCCAATCGCTTTATCTTATCGCATCGTATCACGCTAGCGGCCGCAGGAAAAGTTTCGCGGAGTTCAGTGCTCGAAAAAATTCAATGACATTGAAAATTGGTAACAGCAGAATGTCAATTGAAATGCCTTCAAAATCAACAATCGCCGGGGCTTCTCCCAAAAAGCATAAAAGCAAGTCGGAAAAGAAGCACAAGTCAACAGATAGCGAAAAAAAGCGAAAACGGGAAAATGGAGAAGAAGGACATCGATCAAAGAAACACAGATCTGAAAAGGCTGCGCCAACTACCTCGTCCATAGAAGCACCGGTTGAAGTTTCGCCATTTCATTTACAAACATCCTCCATCTTTTTGCCCTTGGCGCCAGTCTCCCAGAAATTCCCCCTCGAAGGTTTGTGCGCCGAGCACCTTTCTCCGCTCATCCTCACATATTATCCGCCATTCAACGGAGTCATTCTTTCTTACAACAATCCACGATTTGCCGAAAAGGCCTTCGGAAATGATGGAGATTCGACTCTTCTACAAAACTTGGACGAATATGCGGTCAGCTGGGCTTGGGTGACTGCCGAATTTTTACTTTTCAAACCCGAGAAAGGAGCTTGGTTGGAAGGTTATATCAATTTACAAAATGAAGGGCATCTGGGTCTCGTCTGCTGGAATCTTTTCAATGCGAGTATCGAGAGAGCCAGATTGCCAAAAGAATGGAAATGGGTCGGGGTAGCGGACCAGGAAAAGGACGCGGAAACTGAAGAGGGGGCGACATATGCTGAAGACGGGGTTGGCTATTATGTGGATGGAGAGGGGAAGAAGATTGAGGGTACCGTGAAGTTTCGAGTCAAGGAGATTGAATCGAATCACGATAAGGAGAGGGGATTCTTGACGATTGACGGAACGATGTTAGACGAAGAGGCAGAGATGCGATTGTTGGAAACCGAGCAGGACAAGGTCGGAAGTAGAGACAGTGCTGGTAGACGTCTTGGGGGTGCAAAAGCTCTTGGTGCAACTAGCTTAGGAGTAACCGTGGAGCCCTCCGCTACGGAAGTGGACACAGGGAAAAAATCCAGACGGAGAGATTGAGGTGCTATGAGTTGTTAATTGGCGTTAAACGGATACCAGGGTTCTGAATAATGATTACTATCTTAGCTAAAACCGACTTGTAGTGCATTGTACATTCGCCAGCCTATACGAGCCTAAAGTTTATAGAACACATGAAGTAGTTTCTTGATATCAAATAGCTTGATTGAAAAGACCAGCAACGGAACCTAGAAATTCCTCATACTAGTGCTCTGAGCTAATATATTTACGACACGTGACTTCGTACCTTTTTTAATTTTGTTGGAGTTCGCGAAACCATTTCGCGTCAAACCATCGGCCTTCTTCCCCACACCTCCTCTGCCTTGCATCTCGTAGCAACTTCAAACGGGTCAACTTCACATTCCTCGTCACAAACATGAGGCTGCGATTAACTGTGCGTAGGCACAATCTTCCTGATTGTCATATCATTTGGGATGTCAATACCTCAACATCTGCGCCCACAGTATTAGAATTATTGGATCAGATTAATGAAGTAATTCCTATCGAATCTACAGAATGGGGAATGGAGGATTATGCAGTTGAAGTCAAGGGAAAAGAAGGCGTTAATTATGAATGCTTA